GGCCGATTATGATCGGTGGCCGATCGATTGGCACACCTCTAGTACAGGATGTATTTGTCTGTTACACAATTTTTATGGTCAGTTAGAATAAATGTAGCTCCAGAATGTAGAGAATCCATGAATTCAGTGACTTTGATTTATGATTAGGTACGGTAAAAAGTCCAGTCTTAAAAGGTTGACTGGTGACAGTAAAAATGTCCAAAAGGAAACCATTTTCATCATTAAGTATTTTGCCTCCCATAGCGTGCGTCAGCCACCACAGAGAACAGAGATTACCTGAAATGGTTTAGTCCAAAAGCATTTTACAAACCACTAAGTACACTGTTGCTGCCAACAACAGAGCATCTGGACATTTAGATGGGACAGAAACAACTCAAATTAGGAATTAATGACAAATTGTACTGCAACTGTTCATTTAAACTAGCTCTTTTGAAGGCTTGTCCTTCATATCATTAAGCTGTGTTATAAAATCATGCTGGACGATTAATTCTTGTTTTAGACAAGAATTATTCAAGTTAAATTTAAAACATGCATTATATTTAGGTAATGATAGACTGAAGATAATGTGTTATTTTAACAGAAACAAAACTTGACTTCATGCTTAGTATTTCTTAATTTCATAATGACTCAAAGAAATACTTAGAATAGTCTAATTTTAATGGAATTAAAATGTACATATTTCAAAAAGTCAGATTGTAAATCACAAATCTTTGTTTTAGACATTCAACTTAATCTCTTTCAATCATCATTGACTAAAAAACTGGTTTTATGTAAATACAAAAGACAATTGAAAAACACACTTATGTGCAGGAATGTATTGTATGATAGCAGGCTGTATGACAGAGGTCAGAGGTTGCTTCTTTGGTCTGCATGTGTTCTGTGGATCTGGAGAAGGATTAGACTGTATCCTACAAGATGAGGTTGGAAACTGTAATCTGAAAGAGGGATTTTTTTTATTTAAAATTACAAATGTATTCAGTATAGTGTACTTTGTAATTATGACATTTGCAACATTTTGTTATCCTGCCATGGGCCCATACTGCTGGAAGAGCCTCTATGCTTTTAATGCGATAATAAATGATAATGGTAAGTTTTCATATTTACTGACTTGTCTTAATTCTTTACTTGTTTTTGGGTTTTTTTGTTTGTTTATGCCTTATTTTTTCAATTACAGTTTAAAATGAACATGTCATGTGTCAACAGCTAAAACTAAAGTTTTGAATGTAAAGGAGCAGTTTGAAGAAAAAATAATCTCATATAGTGTAACCCTTCTCCAAAAAATCAATCCACAAGCAACCAAGAAGCAATCAACCATTCATATAGACACATCTTCAAACACAACAGGCAACGAGTATTATAAAGATAATAAAGAAAACAAAAAAAAAACAAACATTTTGGTAATACAACAGCACAGGCGTTTGTCCGTCTGATTTCAGATCTCACAATCCTGTCACTCGAGGCCTGCCTATCCTGAGTCTGATTCTGCTTGCGGTTTCTTCCTGTTAAAACACAGTTATTGTTTTCTACTGCTGTCCTGCACTTCCTTACAACTGAGAATTTCAATTAGCAAGGATTCAAAAAGCTTTACAACAAATAACCTCTGTGGAAAGATGGTTTCCATCTGGAAAGAAGGAGTATGAAATTTCTGCTTTAAAAATATGTGAGTGTGGAGACATTGGAACTCTTATTTATTTTATTAATCTGAAACCCTAGAACATTGGGCTACTTTTCACTCAATAAGTTCAACCAGCTGTCATAGTCCTGAATAACTAGGTGCTGTCTAGCTTATTAAGCAAACTCAGAAACTGCTTAAAATGCTACAAAATTAATTTAGTTTGTGTCCAAAATTATCTGATTGGTGGAACTAGATGTAGAGATGGAATCTACAAACTGGTTGAAATTGAAGAAATGCAATTACTAAGCATTGGACTTGACAGACATGCAGTAGACATAATATCAGACCTGAAGAAATGAAACATGTGGGAGCTAAGTAGGTGTGCACTACCAGCAACCAAAGTAGCTCCTTCACTCGATATAGCTGGAAAAGGCATGAGTTAGCCAAACTCTAGGGTTGATTTGTTTCTTAGAAATTGCCACAATCATTTTTACCTGATGCGTCCTCCACTTCAAAGTCACTATCATCTGAACTGTCATAGTCCAAGGCATCCAAGAGAGAGGCAGCTAGTGGTTTCACTTGACGTCTCTTCAGACTTCGGTCCACTGATAAACAGTCACAAAGAAAAACAAACAGAAGAATACATGTTTGAATGAATAGATATTATCATGACAAAATTATTAGTAGAATCAAATTCAATGTAGAATAAGGCCAGAGTAAAAGAAGGCAGATGTGAGCTAATATGTGCTGTTGATTCTAGCCAGATGTTCAAACACAATCACTATGTAGGCATTTAGAATTTCTTTGTGTTTATTTCGTAACTTATGTTACCTAATAGAATTATGTACCAGAAATGTTTTTCAAAGCTTTACAGTTTGTTAAAAAAAATGTGAACAAAAATAAAAGCATAATACAACATTTCTCACTTTGAACTGCCTTATTGCCAAAAAGTGCTATAGAAATAAAACGTCTTCTTCTCAGTGTTAGCAGTGACTTTAACTTGTATTATTCTTTGCATTTTTCAATATATATATATATATATATATATATATATATATATATATATATATATATATATATATTTTTTTTTTTTTTTTTTTTTTTTTTTTTTTTTTT